AGTGTGTGAGTGTGTGTGAGTGTGTGTGTGAGTGTGTGTGTGTGAGTGTGTGTGAGTGTGTGTGAGTGTGTGTGTGTGAGAGAGAGAGTGTGTGTGAGTGTGTGTGAGTGTGAGTGTGAGTGTGTGGCTGGGGAAGCCCCCAGGCCGGGGAGGAGGTGCTGGGAGGAACCTGCCCCCTTATCTCTGGTCCTCACCCCCCTCCCCCGCCTCAGCTACGTCAAAAGCTACCTCCTCCCGGACAAGCAGAGCAAGCGCAAGACGGCCGTGAAGAAGCGGAATCTGAACCCGGTCTTCAACGAGACTCTGCGGGTAAGGCTGCCGGGGGCGGCCCCCCATTCAGCAACCAGGCTCCCTGCCCGAGGGCTCAGGGGGCAGGGGCGGCCACATGTGGTCATTGCCTGTCCCTCCGTCCTGCATTCCGCGGGCGGAAGGGCAGGGAGCCCAGAGTGGTGGGCGCAGCGTCAGTTCAGACCCCCGCGAATGCCCTCCCCTCGGGGGTCCCCCGTTTTCCATCCTGCGGGGAACGCGGCAGGACCAGCCCCGCATTAAAGGCACCGCCTGTCCCCAGTACTCGGTCCCGCAGGCCGAGCTCGCCCGCCGCGTGCTGAGCCTGTCCGTGTGGCACCGTGAAAGCCTGGGTCGCAACATCTTTCTGGGCGAAGTCGAAGTGCCCCTGGACACGTGGGACTGGGACTCCGAGGCCATCTGGCTCCCCCTGCAGCCCCGGGTGAGGCCACTGGTCGGTACAGAGGGACCCAGGGCACAGATCCCGTTTTCACCCGCCGAGCCTTCCCCAACCCCGCAGACTCCACCTTCGCTGGTTTCCCTCGAGGCTCTGCCTGCCTGCCCTGCTCACCGCGCCCCGGTGTCCGGTGTCCGGTGTCCGGAGGCTCCACCCCGTCCCTTGTGGCCTCTTTGCCTTGGGTCCTGTCCCTGCTCCCTGACCAGCCCCCTCTCGCAGGTTTCGCCCTCTCCTGACGACCTTCCCAGCCGCGGGAGGCTCTCTCTGTCCCTCAAATACGTCCCCGCCGGCTCTGAGGGTGAGTGGCGCCCAGGAGAGACCAACCTGGCCCGGCCCCTGGGCGGTGGGGACTCCTGTCCGACAAGGGGGAGGGCTCTGTCCATGGGCCGAAGCCTGAGCCGGCCTTTCCGCAGGCGCAGGACTGCCCCCGAGCGGGGAGCTGCACTTCTGGGTGAAGGGAGCTCAGGACCTGGTGCCTCTTCGTTCGGGATCCCTGGATTCTTACATACAATGGTGATGGCACTGGGAGCTCCCCACCTTTCCTTTTGCCTGAAGTGGCACTCCCCACCCCCTTCTCATCGCCCACCCTTGATCCCCTAGTCTGGGCTTTGACTTCTGAGCAGGGTGAAGGGGGCAGCTTGAGGCCGGAGAGTTGAGGACACCTCTAAGGACTGCATTTCAGTGGCTGGCACCTATAGAACTTGTTGGAGAGCTGAGGCTGAGACCTGGGGGGGTCCAGGGGCCCTTCCATGGAGATCCTGCAAGGCCAGGCTGTGGGGCCTGCAGTTCTGTGGTTTTCAAAGTAAGGTCCGGGTAGCTCTGGTGGTCCAGGTTCTGTCCCACCCTCAGAGAGCGAATGGAGGTAGGCCGAACAGGTTCTGAGATCCCAGCCCTGATTCAACCGGGCATTGTTTTTCTCTTAGGTTTTGTACTTCTGAGCAATATTTTATCTTGCAGAAAGGGCCCACGGCTTTCAGAAGTTTGGAAATTACTCTGAGGGACAGCAGGGAGTCATGGAGGTCTTTGAGTCGGGGAGTAGCAAACTGCCACTTCAGAGCCATTACTCACAGGAGACCTGGGAGGAGGCTGGTGCAAAAGTCCTAGGGCATCGAGGATTGGAGGCCAGTTCTCAGGCAGGAGCCAGAGGACGTGGACATTGCGAGGGAGTCTAGGCTGGTTCTGGGGAGCGTAAAGGGGTGACCGCTTGATGCCAGACCCCCCCCCCCCCCCCACAGCTCGGTGCTGCCTGATGACAGCCGGGCCAGCCGCCAGCGGACAAGGGTGGTGCGAAGGAGCCTCAGCCCCGTGTTCAACCACACCATGGTTTATGACGGCTTCCGGCCTGCTGACCTGCGCCAGGCCTGTGCTGAGCTCTCTCTCTGGGACCATGGGGCCCTGGCCAGCCGCCAGCTGGGGGCCGTACGCCTCAGCCTGGGCACCGGTAAGTGGGCAGGACTCTCGGGGGCAACCACTGCTGGGAGGCAGGGGCTTCCTGAGTGGCCTTGGGCATTTCCCTTTTGTGAACTCTGGTGTCAGTGCGTAATCTGGGACCGGGCAGGTATTCCTGGGACCTGGGGTGGCTAACGTGACCATGACCTCCACCCTTGCCCAGGCAGCAGCTACGGGCTCCAGGTGCCCTGGATGGACTCCACCCCTGAGGAGAAGCAGCTGTGGCAGACACTCCTGGAGCGACCATGCGAGTGGGTGGATGGCCTTCTGCCCCTCCGAACCAACCTGGCCCCCAGGACATAGGTGCCTGACAAGCCTTGGCAAACCTCTCTCCGGACCCCCATCTCAGGGCCTGCCCTTAGTGGAAGTCAATAAAGTCTATTCTAAGGGCAACGAGGGGCTGATGTCTGCTTGGGGTTAGGGGGATGGGGTGATGGCAGGAATGAGAGAGGGGAGTGCAGGGGGCCAGGTGAAGGCACTTTAGATTCAGACATAAAGACCTTAGAGAGCTGGCCCCAAGACCCCCGCATACCTCAGAAGTTGCCAAAGCCCAAAGGTACAAAAGTGTTCTGTTTAATAGTCTTTGTCCGGTGGTACTCAGTGAACTTGGGCATCTCTGTGGTTGGACGGCCCCTACCACCACCTGGTCCCTTCCAGTTGCCCCCGGGTCAGAACTTGCTGGCGTCTTCTCCAGTCACCCGTCCTCGGGTCTAGCCTCTTGCCTCTGGTGCCCTCATTCAGCCTCCTGGGGGCCAGGGGTAACAGCCGTGGATCCTGCTCGCTGTGCCAGGATGGCTCTCCAGATACGGCATGCCATCCCTCCCCTGGGGGTAGCAAATTCCCTGTGGCTCAGCCAGAAGACCCTGGGCTCTCTGGTACCCACTGTCGGCCTAATGCCCCCTCTGTCCCCAAGGGAGCCTAGTGTCCCTGTGGTTTCCAGAGAGGAAACCAGACAAGCCTGTAGCTGGGGGTCAGGATGTGCATGGGTCATCCTGGAGGGCACAGGACATACCTGATGCGGGTGTAGGTGAGGTCATCTTTAGTGGCGCAGGTCAGTAGGGCATGGAGGGTGAAGCTGTGGTTCAGCAGCTGGTTGTGGACAAAGATGCCCACACAGAAACAGGGAGAGATTAAAATTAGAGAAAGGTGTGTCCAGAGGATCAGAGCCTAGTTCTGTTTACTACCGGCATGCTAGGGCAGATCCCACCCCTTTCTGGCCCTCAGTTTTTTCATCTTTACAATGGGGAGCGGAATCCTAACTGTGCCCTCTAATTTGAGATTCTCTGTATCAGAGGGGAAAACGTGAGAAGAGCTGAAAGAGGGGCAGAGGTGGAGTTTTGGTTGGTAGAGGTCATGGTAGCCAGCACTCTCTCCCTCACCCTCTGGATGGTGCCTGAATCCACGTCCAGTTCCTGTAGCCACTGCACCAGGCCCTGGTCCACTGTTCGAGCAGCTGTCAAGGAGAAATCAGGTGAACCCAGGGGTGCCTCCTGCCAGAAGCTGTCTCCCACCACCATCAGTGTCCTCCGCTCACCTGGGGGCCCTGAGGCCAGGGAGCAGGTCCTGGCCTCCTTGTCCACCCGCTGTAGAGCTTGTTGCATCAGAGCCCGGCACTCCCACTCCTTCTCAGCCAGGACATCTCGGAGCCTGTTGGATGGCAGAAGGCCAGTAGAAGGGAGGGGAGAGTGGGGGTGACGCTCACACAGAGGCTAGGGATGGGTCCCAGGGGGCTTACCGATCAGTCTCTGCTCGCAAGAGGCCCAGCTGCACCATCAGAGGTGGGAGGCTCTGCTCGCGTTCCCCTGGGAGCAGGCTTGGCTGGACTGGGGTGTCCTGCTGCTTGGGCTGGGGCTCCTCTTTACTGGACTCCTCTGACCTCTGTGGGACTGCATCCTTCTCCACTCCTGCGGGTCAGAGTGAGGTGAGCTTAGGCCGGGCATTTGGGACCCTCGGACACGGGCAGAGGGCGTGGGGAGCTCTGTGCACTGGCCGGGTGGTGTCAGTCCGGGAGATGTCTGTCTGGTCACTCCCCCACCCACTCCTTCCTGGCCTGGGTCAGGCCTGGTGACCACACCCCCTGCCAGCTCCATTTGTGTTCCCCACGCCTCCAAGGGCCACGCCCTCACCCACAGGCAGGCCATCTCTGCTCCCGGCCTACCTGGGCTCAGCACGGCTAGGGCTCCCCGTACAGCACGGCTGAGCAGCGAGTCCAGCACGAACATCCAGTGTGGGCGGATCTGGCGCCTGCGGAGAATCTGCTTCACCTGGGAGGGAGGATGGCGCCGCTGAGACTGCTAAGCCTCAAAGAGGTGGGGCTGGAGTCGGAAAGGCCTAGAAAGTCTGCCCGAAGCAAGTGGGGTGGACCGACTTGGAGTCAAGGGAGGGGCTGGGAAGCTAGGACTGCGCAGATGTCCCTTCCCTGGTGGCTCTGTCGTCACAGAGAAGACATGGAATCTTTCAACAGCAAGACCTTGCACAGGGAGTTCATGAGCTGTTCTTGGGCAGCCCTAACTGTGAGAACACTCACCGCATCGGGGAAGGCAAAGAGTGGTCTGTGCAGAAGTGCAGGCTCAAGGCCCTGGGCCCGCAGCTGCCCTTGCAGGGCCCGCAGCTCCTGGGCCAGCTGCCGGCGGTTGGGCGTGTGGATGTGCGCCCCGAGGCAGTGCAGTAGCTGTTCCACAAGATTCCTGCCCAGACGGGGTTCCTGAGAAGGAAGGTATTTCCATTTGAGCCAAGAGAGATGCTGGTAAGGGGCTGGGGTTGGGGAAGGCCACTAGCCGGAGTCCTGCCGGTGCTCTGCCACCAGGGGGCGTGGGGGCGGGCCGCCCACCTGGTCCTGCTCCAGCCACAGATTCTCCGCCAGCGTGGGCAGCTCCTGCTTCAGCACCTCGGCCAGCATGGCCCGGCGCTTGCTCTCTTGATGCAGCAGGCTCAGCCCTGAACTCTCCTCCGGGGACGCTGAATCTTCGGCTCCGGGCTCCTCGGGCACCCTGGGTGCAATGGGGAGCGGCCAATGGAGGGCGGGCGGCAATACCGACCAGCTACCTCCGCCCCAGGGTTTGGATCCCGGCGCTGGCTTTGACTTTCAGGCCGCTCTCACAGGGATAAGAGAGAGACCTGGCACGGAGGAGGCACCCTAACGAAATACAAGTAAGAGCAATTGGGAGGTAGGCACCCAAGCGCCATCCTTACAAGTGGTCAGGTGCCCAGGTCCGTAGAGAGGGCTTATTCTGGAGGGAGTAACAGGACAAAACCAGATAAAGTGAACCCGCCCCAGGACCCTGGGCTCTCACCGGAGCTGGCTGGTGTCCCCGTAGCTGAGGCAGCGCTTCGGGGGACTAGGCGGGTGTTGAGAGGGTGCCTGAGGGCGTGGGAATGTCTGGGACTGGGTGGTGGAGTCAGCTGAAGGAAGAGGGCTGGCTGAAGGGGCATCTGAGGGAGGGACAAGGCTGTCAGCCTGGGCCCCGCGTCAGCCCTCAGCTCCACAGCTCTCTGCCCTCACTCCAGTGTGCACCCCTCTCCACCCACGCAGTACCTGGGGGCCGGGGAGCATGCTGAGGCGAGCCCGGGCTTCGGCTCCTCTTCCCAGGCTGCAGGAAGGGGTCCCCCAGCAGTGCTTGAGCACTGGCACGAAGACGGGGGTCTGGCTCAAACGTTCGCAGGAGGAAGGCTTGGGCCTCGGCTGACAGAGAACTGGGCATTGGCGGATGTACCTTGTACATGCCCACCTGGGAGGGGGCCGGGAGGGAAAACAAGAATTAAGTTTAGAGACGTGCAAGGCACTGCCTGTCCCCACCCCACCTGCTGAGCCAGGGCCTGAGGGGTCTCACCTGAAACATGGCAGCCTGTGGGCTCCCGAGCTCGTGAAAGGGTGGGTGACCTGTGGCCATCTCGATGACAGTGCAGCCCAGCGACCAGATGTCAGCCGCTTTCCCGTACCCGCGTGGGCCCTGGTCAATGATTTCTGGGGCCATGTACTGTAGGGTCCCTAGGACAGGAGCAGTAGTAATAATGCTCACCTAGGCTTTATCGCTATGGAGCGACAGGGGCTCTCTCCTCTTTTGGCCGCCTGTACCCACCCTGAACTCTGTCATACAAAACAGTTCCCATCACCTATCCTGGTCGTCAAACATCTACCTGAGCTTCCTCACTCATCTTAGGGTCCATCCCATCCATGGATTCCATCACTTGCAGTAGGTTCCATCCTATAACCTGGACTCCATCAGCCACTCTGAATTTACCAACTTTGGTCCGCAGCAACACTTCTGGGTTCCATTTCAGGCACTAAACTCAATGTCCTCAGCTATCCAAGCTCCAGTTCTAGATTCCATCACCTCAGCCCTGGCTCAATCGCCTGCCCTGGGTGCTATCCCCCATGAACTCTACTCCATGCCCAGGAGAAGCACCTTCCCGGGAAGGCCCCAAGAGTCCTGCTCCAGGTCAGCATCTCCACTCACCACCCCACACCTGTTACCTGTGAAGGTCTCAGTGCAAGGGGTGATGCCTGCCAGCCGCTTGGAGGTGCCAAAGTCGGAAATCTTGAGAAGCCCACTGAAAGTGTTGATCAGCACATTGTCCCCCTGAGGAGAGTGGACACTTCGCTCAGTGGACATTAAGCTGGGGTGCTGACACCAGAAGTGGACCCTATCCCAGGATCCCATCTCCTGGGAATCACAATCTGACCCTACCTCTATCAGCCTCCTCCCCCTCCCATCCCACTATGCCCCTCTGGGAGCTGACACCTGGTTTGGCTTCAGATCTGGTCTCCTTCTCTAGGGCACCTTCTTGATGAATATCCCACCCTTTGCAAAGGATCTGCCAGCTAAGTCTAAACTGCCAGCCTCTGTCTGGGGTCATATCTCTTCCCTCCCCCCACCCCCCACCCCCGGCCCCCTCGCCCACCAGCAAGCCAAGGTGAGCCAGCTACAGGGCTTACCTTGATGTCACGATGCACAATGCGGTTGTCATGCAGGTAGCTGAGTCCCTGCAGGATCTGGCGGGTGTAGAAACTGATGGTGCTCTCGTTGTCCTGCAGGGGTCCCCACACTGACCGCAGCAAGGAGGACAGGCTGCCTGGGCAGGTGCAGTTCAAGGTCATCATTGCCACCCTCTCTCTCCAGCCCACAGCTCTCTGCCCAGACACACCCATACCGTGGCCCAGACTCCATCACCCAACTGCACAGCATCAGCTAATTGTGGGCTACACCACCCACACACACACGCTCTGGTTCATGTCCCCTAAGGGTTCTCCACCCCTGTCTGGCTCCATCCCCACGCCCCACACCCCCACTTCCATTCCCATCTCAGGAGGACAGGTACCTCCAGGCACTTCCTCCATGAAGATCTTGAGGTAGCCGCCCTCGCTGGCTGAGCCCAGATAGCGCACGATGTTCTTGTGGCGCAGGCGTTTGTGCAGAGCGATCTCTTCATGTAGGGGCTGAGAGAACCTGGGAGCAGGTAGGGAGAGAGGAACAGGCCCGATTTGGACAGAGATGCCCAGACAACTCCAGCACCAGCCAGGCCACGCCCCCATGATCTGCCCCGCCCACAACCCCCTCCCCGACTTTCCCACCTAATCACTCAGCCCGCAGGCCCCTCCAGACCAGGTCCCGACCTTCCTGGTCCCTGCCTTTCTGACTGCAGGCCCATTGGGCTCGAACTCTTTCGTCCAAGAGCCCGCCCACTTGCACCCGACCAATAGGGCATCAGCGCCCCCCTTACTGCCCCGCCCCCATGACCCTATCAGTTCCTGGCCCCACCCTGGCTCGCACGCCCAGCGCACACCTGCTGTCCCGCTCTGGGATCTCCTTGATGGCGATGCGTACCCGCGTGTGCCGGTCGCGGCCCGCGTACACGACCCCGTACGTGCCCTTGCCCAGCACCAGCCTCTCCCCGGTCTCCGTGTACTCGTAATCGAACTGCGGGGCGGGTGAGATGGGGGTTCAGCAGGGCCCTCAGCCCTTCCCCCTCCCCGAGCTTCCAGGCCCCCTTCCTCACCTCCAGCACCTCCCACACACCCTCTGCCTCCTCCACGGGCGCCCTGGGATCCGGATTCGTCACCAAGGACTGGATCAGGCCGCAGAACCTGAGGGCGGGAGGTCAGACTGGCCGGAGGGGTACCTTGGGCGCAAAGTGTCCCCTCCTGTGCCGAGAGCACCTAGGGGACACATCCCTTCCTTTCCCTCACTCCCCCGGACATCCCAGCCCTCAGAGCGCCCCGACCCGACCCGACCCGAGAGGCTGCGCACCACTGGCAGTGCCCTGCGCTGGGGAAGCACAGCTGGACGTCCTGAGCCGGGGGAAGCGCGTAGAGGAAGCAGCAGCGCTCGTCCCGCTTGGAGGCGCTGGGAAGGGATGAAGGGCACAGTTGAGCGCCAGGCCGGCTAGCAGCGCGCCACACCTGACTGCCCCAGGCCCCCAGGCCCTGCCCTCACCTGACACCGCTGATGGAGGGGAGCGAGAAGGTCCAGCTGGAGGGAAGGTCCTGTGAGAAGAAAGGGAGTCAGAGGGGCCTGGGCATGGAAGAAAGGCTCAGGAGAAGATACGCTTAGTGGTGAGTAGGGGGCCTCAGTGGTGGCTTCACCTGGGTCTCAGGCTCCAGCAGGCTCAGGGTCACTGCGCTCACGGGGTTCACGCCCTGAACCTCCAGTTTCGCAGGCAGCAGCACTTGGTTCATCTCCAGGACAAGAACCTGCAGGGGACAAGGGTGTGTGTGGGGCGGGGGGCGGGGGTAGGTCAGAAGGGTCCAACCCCTCCCGCAGGTCCCCTGACCCCACAGGCCTCACCAAGCACTGGTCCCCTTGGGGACTGTCTGCTTTGAGCAGCTGGCAGGACTGTAGTAAGAAGTGGAGCCAGAAGTGGGCACGGCGTGGGGGTCCTCCCAGGGGCTCCGGCGTGGGTCTGAAGTGCTGGTACAGCAGGAAGGTTTCCATCATGGACACCAGGTACCTGCGGGCACAGCGTTGTCTTCAACTCAGCCAGGCACCAGCTATCACTGCCCGGGAGAGTGGGCTGAATGGGGCATTAGGTGTCATGGGCACTGGTTTGGAAGGGACCAGGTCCTTGGCTCAGGGCTCAGGCCAGTGGACATAGATGCAGGAGCTGAGAGCACAAAACTGAAGAGGAGGCCACTTACCATATGGGGGCATTGAGTTTGTATAGCTGCTCTGCAGCCAGTGCCACCTGGATAGGGTCATTAGCAAGGATCTGAGCTCCCAAGTAGAAGCCTACATCCCAGTAATATTGCATCTTCTCCACACAGCCTTTTCGGGCCAGCAGGCAGCCCAGCTTCATACCTGGGAGTGAGGGGCATGGGCTCTAGTGAGTGTGGTTGCAGTTGTGGGCAGAGCCCAAGTGTGGGCCACAACCTTCCTGTGGGCAGGAGCACAGATGTGGGTGAAAATGTAGGTGTGGCCTGATCTCAGGTGGGAGGAGGAGCTCAGACACAGGTGAGGGTGTGAGAACAAGTGCATGTGGAAGGAACACAGATGTGAGCTTAGGAACAAAGAGTCATGGGCTTAAGGGCTCACAAGGGCCCAGGACAGGTAGGAGGACCCAGGTGTAGATTCAGGCAGACTAGATCCAGAAGGGGATGACCACAGTCCTAGCTCCCGCCCAGTGTTCTCTCTCCCTGCCCTGGGCGCCTGTTGGGAGGACAGGGGTGCAGAACTGGGGCTCACCAATGAGCCGGAGCTCTTCGGAGTCCTCAAAGCGCTGCCCAGCAGCGATGAGGAGCACGGCAGCATTGATGCCTGAGTGAAGGCTGGGCTCCACATCAAAAGCCTTCCGATACCTGGGAGTTGGGCAGAGGGATGAAAGGCTGGACTGATGCCCAGGCCCCACCCGCAGCCCACTGTCCACTTGCTGGTGCCCCCTTACCAGTGATAGGCCTGCTCTCGGTGCCCAGCATCCTGAAAGCCAGAGCTGAAGAACATGTCCTTGTAGACACGGCCACACATGCAGTACAGGTCGGGGGCCACAGGGCCCTCCCTCTGTACCAGTGGCAGCAGCACAGCTAATGCCTTCTCCCGGTCCCCAGGCCTGTTCCTCCTAGGGGAGGGGGAAGATGGGCTGGGGACTTGCCGGATGGCCCTGTCCCACTCGGTCTGGGGACCCCCAGATGCTGAACAGCAGGGACCCTTCCAGGGGCCTGACAGTAATGAACACAGAATGGCAGTGACTTTGGTCAGCACTGACCTTTCTAGAGGAAGTGATCCCAAATGGAAGTGATTTCTAGCTGCAATGATTCTGAAGAGAGGTGACCTTGGACAGCTGTGACCTCCCCAAGGGCACCACCTCACCGCACCCTGGGCAGCAGGAATGGAACAACAGGACCCTCTGACATCAGCGTGACCCTAGTCAGCAAATTCCTTGAACAGCACTGATCTCAGACAGCAATGACCTCATAGAGCAGGGACCCATGTTCCCACGTGGCTATGACCGAGCGCCGCTCTGCCACTCACCGGTTGAGGGCAAATGTATAGTGGAAGCAGACGTTGTGCTGCTCAGCCACGTCACAGGTGGGCAAGGCCTGCAGCGTCTCCACCAGCTCAATGATGGCTGAGTAGTCCTGCAGGAGGGAACAGCACACACTGACTAAATGGCCTCTGGTGGGTCCCATCGGCCCCAGCCTCTGAGGAAAACCTTGAGCTGGGGGTCCCCTCCCACCCCTGACACCCCACCTTCCCACCCCCCATCCTCTCTCTCAGGCCTGGCAGGTAGTACAGACACCACCCCTTACACGGAGAACCCATTGCGTGCCCCAACCTCACAACTGCCACGGGAGACAGTGACTCAATCATTTGCACTACAAACAGGCTCAGAGACATCAGCCAGGATGAGCTCGGGTCTGTCTGACACCCTGACACACGAATGCTGTGCCCGACTGCCTCTCAGCACACCTGCACATCTCGGTAGGAAAGCAGCAGGTTCATGATGATGTCAGGGCTCAGCAGCTCCACGCTGTCCAGTCTCCGCTGCAGGCGAGCCAGCTCCTCCCGCAGCTGCTGCCCGCTGAACCGCTCCCGGGCCTGCCGGATGTCCTGCCGAATGGTCTCCCGGAAATAGCCACTGATGCCCGGAGCAGGAGAGGGAGGGAGGGAGGGAGAGGGGATGGTGGGGCCTGTCCAGGTCACTGTACCCTCTCCAGCCTCCTCCTGGTGCACCTTCTCTGGGTCCCCCTTACCAAGAGTCCGTGGGCATGGCCTCCAGCAGGCGGGCAAACCGGCCCACCAGGGGTGTGAGCAGGGCCTCAGTGCCCACCCCGGGCTGGACTAGCCCATCAGCCAGGCCCCTCAGGAGGCCTACGTCACCACACAGCACTCGACCAGTGGCTGTCACCACATAGGGGATCAGTGTGTAGCTGCCAACACAATCCTGGTGGGAGGGAGTCAGGAATCAGTAGAGATCAGAGTTCAGCACCAGGTTAGGGAGGGGCAGTGAGGGGGTCAGAGGTCAGCGCCAGTGGGAACTGGAATAGCAGGAAAGGGACACACTGCAGGAGCAGAGTCACACAGAGATTGAGGGGTATTAGGGAGATTAGGTGACGGAGGAGGCCAGGAAAGGTAGTGATGGGTCAGAGGTTATAATGGAAGTCAGAGGGCACATTGGAGTGAGGGGTGGATTCTGCTCACTGAGTTCTTCTGAAAAATGTCCTCCTGTAGGGAACAGACAAATACTGATGTTCTGGGTAGGCCCTACCCCCGCCCTGTGCCTGCCCCCACCAGCCACCTGGCCACCTACCCGCAGGGCCTGCAGGTCAGGGATGTCTTCCTGGGAGCAGAGAAGCACGTTGTTGGTCATGCTGAAGCTCTCACGTACCCCAAGATGGTAGAACAGGGAAGGCTGTGCCAGGGAGCTGCTCACCTCCAGCACCACCACGTCTGCGAGCACAAGGTGGAGGCCCTGAGCCCGGAACCCAGCTTGGAGGGGAAGGAGGCTGGGGCTCCATCCTGGCTCAGCCTGCCTTCCTGTGTGATTCCAGCAGGATCCAACTTCGCTCCTGGCTTCCGTTTCCTGCTTTTAGGGTCCTTTTGGTTCTTACACAGAGGAGAGGAGGCTGGGCACCAGCCCAGAGCCTGTTCTAGGCCATTTGAGAAGCAAGAGTTGAGCTAACACTCAGTCCACTTCCCTGGGTCCGCAATCCAGTCTCTTGAAAGGTACCAGCATTGTGTGTAGATAACACTGTGCTGTATGTGTATGTGTGTGGTGTATGTGTGCGTGTGTGTGTGTGCACGCGCCTGTGTGTGCGTGTGTATGCGTGTGTGTGCGCGTGTGTGTGTGGGGGGGGCTGTGACTGGATCTTTGTGTGTGACAGGGTCTGTGAGGACCTGTGTATTGACATCTATGTGACTCTAAGTCTGTCTATAACCCTGTGCGTGTCTTTGTGTCCTCGAGGGGGGTCGGCCTACATTTTTTAGGCTGCGATTTTACGAACATAGGGCAAGCGCGGGCGCCAGGGCTCTTGGTTAAACAAATAAGTATCCAGAGGCGGGGCGTGAGGGTTGGTGGAAGGGACAGGCCGCCTCGGGCCCCACCCACGAGCGATCTGCCCGCCTCCAGCCCCGCCCATTGTCTCGGGGTTAAGGGGTCCTCTTAACCTAAGCTCCTTGCCCAGAATCCAGTCCGTTGGTCCCTCGCTCTCCTTTCTGCTCCTTAGCCCACTCCTCCGAAGTAGTCTGCGAGGACCCCTGAACCCCAGCCCCGCTCGCAGAGCCCCTAGGCGAGTCCACGCTCCACCTCCCAGGATCCGCCCTCACAACTCCGCGCGGGATCGTCCCGAGGAGGCGTTCTCCAGCCCAATTCCTAAAAGGCCGGCTCCCAGCCCCGGCCCAATGCTAGCCCCGCTCCCCAGGCGCGCGCCGACTCCACATGCTTAAGTCCCAACCCTGAACCCCGGAGTCGGCGTGGACCCGCTGAGTCCTAGCCCGAGCCTGGCCGCGCTGCAGACCTCCTAAACCTCACTTTTCTCGGGTCCCCGCCCCGAGCCCTCAGCTGTAGCTCACGGTGCAGCCCCCGACCTCGCCGCATCTCGCCCCTCCCCGCAGCCGCCGAGCCGCGCCCCCTCCGGTCCCGCGCTCCGCCCCCGGGGAGCTCGGGGGGTTCACACGGGGTTTAAGAAAGGAAATCC